CAAAGCCATTCCACGTGATGAATTAAAGTACAGGTTTATTGCTATCATTGACATCTGCTTTTTCAATAAATATGGAACTCCTAAATTTACTTACCTGGTCAATGGTCATTTGCAAAATTATTTTGTTAAAACACATTCTGATTGCACACACAAGTACTCTGAAGTTGATATCAAAGAGATGCTTGAGTTTCTGATTGACAATATCTATGTGGTTTTTGGAGACCAGGTATTCTAACAATCTATTGGAATTCCCATGGGTACCAATTGCACTACGTAATTAGCAGACCTATTTTTATATTTATTTGAAGCAGAATTTGTGCAAAATCTTATGCGTAAAAAGAGGAAAACACTTGCTGTGGCCTTCAACTCGACATTTAGATATATCGACGACGTATGGTCAATTAACAATGGTCATTTCCATTGCTACGTCGATACGGTATATCCTGGTTAGCTTGATATAAAAAATACCACAGAGTCTGACGCTTCTGTTTCATACTTGGATATTTTACTTGAAAAAGACGTTAATGGTAATCTAACAATCAAGCTTTATGATAAACGTGATGACTTTATCTTTTCTATCGTCATCTTCCTAGCTTACCTATGCAGCAATATACCTTCATCACCTGCATACGGAGTGTATATATCTCAGTTGATTCGCTACGCAAGAGCATGCTCTACGTATGAACAATTTCTTAAACGAGGTAAACAATTGACAAGCAAGTTGATGAAACAAGAATATCAACAGTCTCGTTTCAAGTCATCATTTCGTAAATTCTATGGTCGATACAATGACCTTGTCAGCCAATACAATTTATCATTGAGACAAATGCTGACTGACGTTTTTCATACCAATTGTTAGTCCATTATATATACACTGAATTGACGCCGTTATTTCCCGATCATGACAAGGAGCACACGGCGGGTGTAACCGGTCGGCAGGGGATGCTCACTCTTCCATGGCACTTGATCCCACCTCTGATGTTTCAGAGGTCCGTGTTTGGTCTGCTCCTATTTTGTATTGTTTTATAGGCTTTTGATATTGAATACTGTTCGTTATCTCCATATCCTTCTTTCATTGTCTATAAAAGTTTGTTACGTCAGTTCAATTAATAATAATGAATAAAGAGTCCATTATCATTACCTTGTTCGATTAAATGTATATTATTATAAGCAATGTGAAAAAAAATCCATTTAACCATAATATTGAAACAGATATTGCCTTTAAAGGAACGAATGGCATGGGATATTAAAGTTGGCATTATAAAATATATTTGTAATTATAAATTTTTAATCATTATTATTACATATAAATTTGAAATCATTGATATTTACTCCACACTATTATAACAATACATGTATTAATAGTAGAACTTCAGGAGTGTTGTCTGAAAAATATTCCATAGGTGTAAATTAAATGTAGATACTATAGTACGTGAAAATTCAGAAGAACTTTTGGACAATTTGAAACCCTGGTCACCACTCTGCACAGTGTACTGTTTCTGCCCACAGCCACTTAATAAAGCAAAGGACTAGATTGTTTCATGGTAGGGGAAACAGGTTATTCCATATCAAAACCCTTTATTTCTCAATTAAATTTGGGTTTTCACTGGGCAATATTTGGCGCATCATAATAAAATGAAGCGTATTTATTGTTTTAAAGCAATTTTTTCACTTTATTAAGAAAATTTAATAAAATTAAGAAATTACAGGTTTAAAAATGTAATTACGATTTTGTATATTTACTGATTTTAAACCGATATTGCAACTGATAGGTAGGTTGATAGTTATGTTATGATAAACTGAAGCTCTTAAAGAAAGGGGTAATAAAAATCGTATTAAAGAAAATGTAATAAACATACGCTCTATAGATTTAAAACATAAATTTGAGAATCTCTCCATTATTTTTACAATGTTATAATATATTTTTTTAAAAATCCTTTGTGTCCGTCATATTTGGTAGTACTCTATAGGAACAGGGAAATTAGCTGATTTTTGGCATTTTAAGATGCTCCTCTGGAAACAAGACGGAAGAATTTTGTGTTTCTTACATATAATGTACAATATAGTATTACTAATCGTATTTTATAGTTTGAGCAAAAAGTATTTGTATAATTTGCTATAAAGTGCTAAAAATTGGCACTTTACTATTATATAATACATGTATAATTCTGTATTTTGAGACGGACCCTTGAAAATACCTGAACAGTAGATTTCCCCCAAATTTAGCATAAACACTAAAGTTAATGTAAACTAGTGCTAATTGTAACGGGAACCGTTACAGATGTTCCCCAAACGCTCCCCAACTCCCTTTTGGTGCCATATTCCCTGTAAGCCTTGTTACATGTAAATAAGACAATATCTGTGCATTTTTGACTTTAACAACGTTTTCCCAAAAGGATACCAATTATATTCAAATTTTAACATTGCACGCGTGCCCATGTGAATGCACGTGCTTAATGATCATATAATCTTGTCTACACTTTCTATATATTAAAATATACTTTTTATGAAAGCATTTATCCAAAAGTATTAAAAATCACTCATTCAAGTGTATTTTCAATTTCACTCGTTCCAAATGACGTGCGTGCACGTGCATAATGACCATACCTTCTTGTAGGAGGCCCTTATATCTATCACTCTAAATCCCATCCTGTTTGGTTGAAAACCAAGGGAATTATAGCCATTTCAAGTTTTGGCCAATCAGATTGCAGCACACGTGCATCCACGTGATTTCAAGAATTTTTTTCTAAATCATGTTGTAGAATATCCTAATGCATAACTATGTTTTAAATTTCAAAGCATTTCGTCAAAAATCAAAGGAGATATGGCCATTTAAAGTTTCAGCCAATCAGATTGCAGCACACGTGCATGCGCGTGATTTCTTGATTTTCTTTTTGTATATCATATTGCAGGATATCCTAATGCATGACTATGTTTTAAATTTCAAAGCATTTCGTCAAAAAACAAAGAAGATATAGCCATTTAAAGTTTCAGCCAATCACATTGCGGCACGCGCGCATGCGCATGCTTTCATGAAAACTTTTATATATCATGCTGTAGATCTTCATAATGTAGGACTATTTTCAAACTTTCAAAAGATTATGACAAGAAACAAGAAAGATATTGAGACTTTAGTTTCAGCCAATCAGAGCGAAGCGCACGTGCATGCGCGTGAGATCTTGCTATTTTGATCATGCCATCTTGTCTATACTACTAATGTATCCTTACATTATGAGTTTCAAAAAAATTCATCAAGAAAAAGAAAAGTTACAGCAATTTCCATTATATGGGTCATTTTTCGTGTTGCACGTGTGCGCTCTTGCAAGCACGTGCGCGCAAAATGACCTTCGTTCGGCAAATCTACATAACATGTCTACTGACCCTAAAAACATTTTACCTTAGTCGGATGTGTAGTTTACAAGATCATTTGGACAAAATTTTCCCAGGAAGAAGAAAAATAATAATAATAATAATAAGAAACAGAGTAAAAACAATATGTTCCCCAACTTCGTTTGGGGAACATAATTATATATGGTATAAAAATGAAGAGATTTACTAGTTTTCACACAATAAAACCCCTGTAGGCCCCCTTAATTCGTACAACTCCGATGCATCAAAGACATGACCGTTTCATATTTTTATTTTTTACTTGAAAAACGCGTTAATGGTAATCTATCAACCATGTAAGCTTTATGATAAACACCATGTAAGCTTAATTCATGAAAAACGTAATGACTTTATCTCTTCAATCGTCAACTTTCCTTACTTATACAGCACCTTTATCGCTTGCATAAAAGATACATTTCTCAGTTGATTCGATATATGCAAGAGCATGCTCTACATGTACGTATGGGCGATTTCAACAACGAGGTATTATATTGACTAACAATTTAATGAAGCAAGAATATCAACATTCTCGCTAAAAGTAACCATTTCGTACGTATTATGGTCGATACAATGACAATGTAAGCAAAAACAAACAATATATCATTTAAGTCAAATGCTGATTGACGTTTATCATAAAAGTTGTTAAACCATTATTTACACACTGAATTATCGACTGGTTTTATCATTATTTCCCGATCATATCTAAGAGCACACGGCGGGTGTGACCAATCGACAGGGAAACTCATTCCTCCATGCCATCTGATTCCACTTCTTATCTTTTAGAAGTCCGTGTTTGTTCTGCTCCAAAATGTGTATTGTGTAATGGACTTTGAGCTGTTTGTTATCCCCATTTATTACACACTTAGTAATAAATACAGGTTTTTTGCATATGCGATATGGCTGACGTCACAATAGCCGTATCAACCCTGCAGGGCTGATATGGATTTGCGGGGCTAATATCCGTATCAGCCCTGCAAATCCATATCAGCCCTGCAGGGCTGATACGGCTATTGTGACGTCAATATCACACCCTTAGTAAATAAAACCACAATAACAGTACTTGTACTCATACACAATTTTTGGTGGGTTCATATTCTCTTAATTTTAACTTTTTGAAAATAATAATCTTAATTTACAAATACATGTAATACTATAGAATATTTTCAAATTACGGATCAAGTGCATTGAAATAGAAATAGAAACAAACCCAAATCTTATAAGACATTAGACTATGTACAGGTATGTAAGAAGTCCATGCATTATTATTTACTTATTTTCTTCTCAACTGTATTTTATTACTAAGTATGTAATAAATATAATAAAACATACCCTTTTCCACATCACATCCTGTATCAGCCCTCGACCAAAATAAAAATCAGCCCTCGGGCCTTCGGCCCTCTGGCTGATATTGGTGTCTCGGGCTGATACAGGATGTGATATGGAAAAGGGTATGTATTATTCTCTATATATTTCATAGTAACCTAACATGAAAACATTAGTAGAAATATTGATCTTTTTAATCAATATTTTGTGTATTCCTTTCTATATATAGAAATCATTTTTTTTAACTAACATTTTAAGATATTCCAATAATCAATCAAAAATAAGATTCATTTTATCTTCCTTTGCTTTATTTTAGTAAAAATCTGGATGGTTATAATTAAATTTTGCAAAATCTATATTCTGAGACATTTTTATATCACATTTTAAAAGATACAATGCAGTATAAAAATAAATCTAAATATACATTTTATGATGCGTTTGTCCACCATGTTAATGTATTATGCAGTTTTCTAAAGAAATGAAATGTCATAAAATGGTATTAATTTCTCTACAATATCCTGATCTAAACAAAAAATACAATAATCTGATTATATAGAACTTAACGATAACATTATCATCTTCTTATCACAGAAATGCTTTAACTATAAAACAGAACAAAATAAAAATAAGTCAATTCAACTTTCAATTAAATAAATTCTATAACAAGGATATATGTTAATTGCTATACATTGTTTAATTGAGCCACGCATTAATTAACAGTCAGGCATTCAATAATATAACCAAAATAAAATTTCTAGTATCACAGGTAGTTGAATTAGGAGAATGTCTAACAGTATAAAATAATCTATAATTTATCTTTCGCACTTTAATTTTACGAGTCTTGTTACGTTAGGACTATATAATCTACAAATTGTCCATGAAGGTAGAGAGGAAATCTGTGTATGACACCAGTCCCCTCATGTCTTGGTCGAATTCACTGAGGATGTGGTAGAAGTCTTCATTTGATACCTGTATATTACAACCTGTCAACGCCCGTCGGAAGTCAGAAACTCCCAGCAGTCCCTGCCGATGGACGTCCAATCTACGAAATGCTCGACGCAAGTTTTTGTGTTCGGCCATCAACTGAAAATATCAGGTTACAGTGTAAAGCCAGGTAAAGGTTTACTTATAAGGCATACATATAATGATAATAAAATGTTTTAAGATATCTTGAAATAGATTTGAGAAACAGAAGCTTTATTTGATGATTTATAATACAATCATATATGATAGTCAAAACTGCACAATGAAAATTAAGACAAGAAAACTACTCACAAAGTCAACAAAAAAAAACAAACAAACATAAAACTCATAGTGATAAATCATACTGAAGAATAACGTTGACAAAAATTCATTTTTTCAGTGAATTAAAAGTCAGGTGAAAAATCTACTGTGCAAACATTGAATGTCACCAGTTAAACATAATTAATTAAAAATAAACAACATAAGTGTATACTGTTTTCTTCATTTTCTTAAGGAACTGTTGGTATAGAAAAGAGTGCAATTAAAGATTGCTTTAGAATTTTGTTTTGGTAAAAAAAAGAAAACAAGCCATGCTGCTATTGGTTTTTAACTTCTTGAACTAAAAAACAAAAAACAAACAAACATAAAACTCATAGTGATAAATCATACTGAAGAATAACATTGACAAAAATTCATTTTTTCAGTGAATTAAATGTCAGGTGAAAAATCTACTGTGCAAACATTGAATCAGTTAAACATAATTTATTAAAAATAAACAACATAAGTGTATACTGTTTTTTTCATTTTCATAAGGAACTGTTGGTATAGAAAAGAGTGCAATTAATGCATGCTTTAGAATTTTGTTTTGGTAAAAAAAAGAAAACAAGCCATGCTGCTATTGGTTTTTAACTTCTTGTGGTAAAGAATAACTTAAAATGAGTAAAGGTTTAATTTTTTTTTTATATTTGCATTGAAGCAACATAAACATAAAGGAAAATAACATATTTAAAATGAATCCTGATCCACATAAAAGGCAATCAAAAATGTTTCAAAATGAGTAATTTAATATATGTATACATCATAATCGTTGTTAATTTAACTTTTTGTTTGCCTGTTAGCTTTGGATTCAGAGAAGAGTGAGCTCTTTTGACAAGTAAGGGAAGAAAAGTCCCCTGAATAATTTATTGCTATGGTAACATTGTATCACCTTGTGGTGTATATTACTGATTACTGATCCTACCGTCGCTGACTGAATATCACGCTGCTGTTTAAAGAACAAATACCAGGGTTAGTACCATTACATCATAGGTCAACTCAATTATTGTATAGAACAAATACCAGTGTTAGTATCATCACAATTGAATCATTAAATCATTGTTGGTCATTTCAAATCTCATACAGCTGTCCAGCATGCAAGGATATTGAGTGTTAGCAGACCCATTTAGTGGCAAATATGTGTACAGAAAATTCCTTATACTGCACATATTATATAACATATATTTAAATCACATTCAAATATTGATAAATACCAATATCAAATAACTTTTTTTATGAATCAAGAAAAAAAATTTAAAGGTATTTTAGGGAGCACTTTTTTTGGCCAAATGATACACTAATTAATCATTTGATGCAATTAAACAAAACAAATGTCAACCACATCATTAAATTTTCACACAAGTTAATTCTTTTAAAAACCTCAAAACAGATTAGTTGTGAAATCAACATGTGTGAGTTTTTTTGTTTATGTTTGTTACCAAGGTAAGTTGTTTGTTTACATGTGTTACTATGGTAAGTTGTTTGTTCACGTTTGTTACTATGGTGAATTGTTTGTTTACGTTTGTTACTATGGCACTGGATGTCTGGGAGATTCCATAGCATAAATGAGGGAGTAGGGGACACACTTAGTCGCCTTGGTAACTGAAACACACAAAGATTTGTTTCTTTTTTAGTCACCTATCTGTAGCATCCTCATTTGAAATCAAAGAAATTTGCTTATCATTACTTTGATGAAAATAGATTCGGTTGTGTTTATTCTTTGAAATGTGCATGACTGTTTCACTGAAATGAGGTAGCAGCTAGGGTACAATGTTAGAAGGGGTATATTCAAATTTAACTTTGCTACTTCCAATAACAAGTCAGTAGTTTGATGTCGTGGTTACATGGTGACAATAACAACAGTCTGTTTGTGCATGTTAACCGGATCAGACTTGTACCTATAAATAGCTATGTGGCCTTCACCTTTGAAGGTCATCTGGATCGCCTTGACCTCTTTGAAGATTTTGGTCGCTGGAATATTTGACATTCAAGTAAAAAAATCACAGCAAAATTTCAACTTTTGTATATTATATGTCTGGCAACAATAACAACTGAAGCATTAGCCAGCAGTATTGACAAGGCGGTGATAGTGTGCTTTATAATGATACACTGCTTGTTGGAGTTTATATGAGGCTTGCTTGTAGCTACATTTTGTGTGTGTGATATGGCAATCAATCACTCATTACTTACAGCATTCAGTTTGCCTTGGAATATAACATCACAAATCATACTCAAGCTTCTGTGTCAAGTTTAAACATAATGGCAAAACTATTATTTTATAATGTGTTCATCAATGCAACTTTGTCCTATTTTATAATTCAAAATTTCACCTTCGTTCTATCTTGTTGGAATAGCATTAAAAAAAAAAGCTGTACTTGAAGTAAATCAGCACTCTGTAGTGATATCAAACTAAAGGACCTCCAACATGCTTAATGTTTGGAGATCAGTAAAAAGGATCTTATGTATAGGGATTTTATGTCACACCCCTAGGACCTATGTAGCCTGTTCTGTAGTACAAGGTTACCTATTACATTAGACCTTGTCTAGCTTTCTTTCCAGTTCATTGCACACCTGGGATTTTATTTTTCTACATTTGACTATTTACTGCCTGTCTATATGATTAAGTTAGCTATAAGATTAAACCTCATTTACCTCTCTTTCCAGTTTGTGTGTTTGTTTGTTGTACACCTGGGATTTTATTATTTGTCTATATTTGACTATTTACTGCCTCTCTATATGACTAAGTTAGCTATAAGACCTGTTTTACCTTTCTCTCTAGTTTGTGTGTATGCTTGCTGTACACCTGGGATTTTGTTGGGTTAGGGGAACTTTGAGAGTAGCACTTCATAAACTCCAGGTAATGAAATCTACAAGAAACATATACACATGTTTTATCAAAATTTATTATAAAAACATGGTCTCTTTTAATTATCAAGAAACATGAATATTTCAATTTTTTTAGCATTACAGAGATGTGCCCCTACACATGCCATTACACTTTTTGTGTAAATACCATCACTGAGAAATTGTTTGAGCATCTAGTTTGTTCCAAATATGCGAGATAGAGATATTTGTGTTACCTCCCGTTTCGTTGTATGTCGAATCTTTGACAGAGGTCTCGCTTCTCATCCTCAGACAATGGAAACTTCATAGTGTTTAAAATATCCTGGAAAAAAAGAGAAGTTCATATTTCAAGACATCTTCTTTCAAGTACAAAAGATTTAAGAATAATCTAATTGTAAAAATGTGCTATTTAAAAGAATTTTAAAGTACCGGTATCAAAACATTAAAAGTTACTTTGGATCAATCAACACAAGTCATATGATTATTCTATCTTGAACAAACCTTCATGTCTGAAATGGATATGGTAGAGCTGCCATTTTTGTCAATGAACTTGAAGACGGTCTTTAATCCTTCCCAATTTCCAATCACCTAAAAAAAATACGCAATTTATATCTAATATAAATAAAATATTGAAAAAGACGAAACTTCCTTTATATTTACAACAATTAACCAATCTAGAGTTTCTCTTAAGGTGGCTCATTACATCCACAGTTTATTTTAGATTTCAATACAGCACCACTTATAATGTAGATGTCAAATATCCAGATGGGGGTATTGATATCATAAATATTTTTTATAGAATTTTTTAGTTTTTGTTTTATTTTAGTGAAATGTTTTATTTCAGGTTTATCATTCACAGAATTTCAGAACTTTCAGTGTCAAATAATAGGCATCTTCTTAAGACAAGTACATACAGTGAAAATACCTCATAATACCTAATAATAATTTTATTAGAAAAAATAATTTTCTCCTAGAAAACAATTAATGTCATTATCTTTTTAATCTATGCATAAAACATTTTAAAAATGTGTTCTGAAGAGACAAGGAATGTATTTCAATGAATTACATGTGTCAAATTGAATGAAGAAAGTTTAAACGAAATGAAAAATCAAATTTAAAAAATATTTGGTATAGAAAGTCCACTTTCAAGAGTTATCTTTCCTAATTAGCCAAGACTCAAAACACTATGGAACGTTTGATATTACATTTAAAATTCAGAATATAGCTTTAAATTGCCAGAGTATGCATTTAAATCAATAAAACAAATACATGTATATAAATTAACACCAACACAGTAAATAGCGCAATTAAATAAAATTTTAATTCCAACAAGGTTGAGATTTCCACATACATACATGTCAGTGATTGATAGAGTTCGCTGCATGCATGGCTATGAAATTGACATTACTTGTTTGGCGAAGATTTGACTGTTGCTTTCTTTTGTTTCTGCCTAAAAGCAATTCTTCTTGGTTTATGCATAATGAATCTGCTACTTTGTTTTCACTGTTTACAACACCGCATGTTTCATCTATTTTTAAAGCGTTTTAAAGGTCAGGGTCATATTATAGAGGTAAGACAGCAAACCGGTCGACACAATGGAGGTTTATTTTTTTGTGTAGTACGTCATCAAAAAGTGGTGTAATGAGCCTCCTTAAAAGGACCAATTCCTCTTAGTGCACAACTTAAATTTCTACTCAAGAATCATAAACTATTTATAGGCTAACTCTCTGTAGCCTCAGGTGACCTTGACAAGGTCATGACACATACACCAGTTAAGGTCAGATATGGGTTGTTCTCATTTAGAAAAGTAGGAACCAGACATGAATTTCGTGCATCAAGTTGTTTCACATGATCTTGGTTTAATTTCAAAATACCCTCAAGGATCATAAACATTCTCTGTCTCAAACTTCTTCTGGCAGTAAGGGGCTTAATTAATCAATCTGATGAAATCTGAGGGGAGAAGGTTTAACCTAAGAACTTATTTGCAAGGCAAAAAACTGGAGACACACAGACTACCTAGAGTGTTACAGTCTCACCTTTGCCTTTATTTTGTTGAGTAGATCGCGAGTTTTCTGGCTTTTATTGGACTGTGCCGTCTGTGGGGGTTTCTCCTGGACCACACCATTAACTTTTGTGGTTTTTGTGGCGGTCTCTGTAGAAGACACCACCTCAGTGGTTTTGGTGGTGGTCTGTTCCCCGTTATTAGTCGAGGTGACGGTGGTGGTGTTCCGCTGTAGGGATGACATGGTCCTCTCTCGCCTCTCCCTCTGGACTCGCTTGGCTGTCTCTATTAATTCCTTTGTGTCACCTACTGTTAAAGCAACGAGGATCAAATACATTTTTATTTTTGTTTGACTTTAGTCTATATTATGTTTGACTTTAGTATATGTTATGTTTTACTGTAGTCATATATTTTATGTCTGTGCCAGACAGAACCCTCCGCTGACTGGAGGTTAACCTACCATTACTCTGGTCCCGTTTCATCTCCTGACTCTGACTGACCCTGTTCTGAGCGAATGCCTTGATTAAGGACTTGTAGCTGTACATTCCATCAGCAGAAATGTTCAGTCTGGCCCACACTCTGTCTAGCTCAGAGTTTGTTAGGTTTACTCCAGACCTGTAATCATAGATAGCATATTTAATACATCATCAGCAGCAACTGATGAAATAAACTTACAATTTTAAGAGAGCGTCTGATGAAAAAATTTACATTTGTAGGAGAGCACCATATGAAATAAATTTACAATCGTAAGAGAGCACCAGATGAAAAAAACTTACAATCGTAGGAGAGCACCAAACTGCCACTTGCTCATTCTGCCGGTCTTACGACGGTCCATGTCCTGGAAGTGCTGGAATCCAAGACAAACAAACTGTATAACTCTATAAATTTTAACATGTTTCCATGGAGAAGCTCATTTGTTAAGATTTCTGGTTCAGATATAAAGGCAATGATGAGAACTAATAATAAATACTGGTATATCTCACATAATTACTGTCCATGAAACAATGTACAGGACAATTATTCATTAGAATTTAAAGCTAAATGTGGATAATGAAACAAAATATTGATTGTATTGTTGTAATTGGCCATTCAATTAAAAGTGTTCACAATAAAACAACAAATTAACAAAGAGAAGTAAACATCATTTCTGAGTAAATGTATTAACTTTCAAACAGAGGTTTATTGTTGCTTTTGTCAACAACTTCAAAGAAATGTGCAATTATTTGAACAGCCACCCGCAGTTATCATCAAACATAATACCTCCCTTTGGTTTGATATACATGAATATAGTAAAGGTTTCCTGAGCTATGATACACATAACAATAAATATCCTACCTTGTCAAAGGTGTGGAATCTATTGCGGAAGAGATCCTCTAGTATTTTCATCACCTACAATGTACCACTGATCATTAAAATCAGTATTTAATTGTAAATATCATCTACAATATACAAAACCAGGACAAGAAATGATGAGACAAGAACTTAATTATTATCCTCATGTAGCGGATACTGTAACATTTTATATCAGCTTCAAAATCAACAGAATGAGAAGGGTTCAATTCAGTGTAGTAGATCTCAGTTAAAAAACCATAACAATAAAGATGGAAAGATGGAGCTCTATTCCTTTACTTTCTAGATTAACGGAGATTAAGGACTGGAAACGAGATTTAATGGTTTGCAAAATAATTAAATTTGTACCCACAGATATCAAATGAATAAAACAGACTACATATAAAATGCAATTAACATAAAACTAGCTTGTTATTGATATAGTAAGAGGGAATGGGATACATAGTATTACGTGTACTGACTTCATTTCATAAATCTACAATATTCTTGACCTCATCAATCATGTAAATATGACTCTTTTTCTATAAACTCTGTCATTAATAAAAAAAATCTGTAGCTAAACTCAATGTTTATAAGTAATGACAATTTAACTTGTTTCTTATAGTTACATACTGTTCACATGTACACTTATTTACAGAAGATTGATTGAGCATTGAACGGCTTTTCCCTCTGTCCCTTTCCAGTGAACATTTAATGTATGATTACAATAAATTTGCATAAAAATATTTAGAAGCATATATATAGTGCAAGAAGTCATATTAATACCAATGGTGATCACACATAATATGAAAGCATCAGTTTAAAACACAGTGTTGTAATGTTAGATCTGGGTGAGGTTTAAATATACAAGTATTCTATCCTATCTTTCTCCACGGTGAATCAAACATAGTAAGGTTTGTATACATTAGAAACAGACCATTATTTGAATCCATAGAAATTTTTAAAATGTTATGAATTGGGTATCTTAATTAAGTGTGTATTCAGTTAAAACCAAAAATAAAACATGCAGTACCTCCCCTGGGGATCCCTGAAAACCAAATTTGAGTATATACATATTCATTAAATGCACAAAATATAAATAAATCATTAATGAAACAACAACAATGATAGCAAATAACAAATCGAATACCTGAGAGGTTTCATGGCATGGAAAATGAAAAACTATTTCAAAAGAAGATTTTCATCTTTATATACCATTCCTCTCTTCTTTTCTAACCTAGGCCTTTTTCTTTAAATTGTTGTTGTTGGAGGGGGGTTACTAGGAATGAATAACTTAGGTCAGCTTTTGTTCTGATATTATTTAATTGTGGTATACCCTTGATCAATCATTACAAAGTTTAAGAATGACTTACATCAGCTATAGTTCTGACATTGTCCTGTGGTGGTAATATTAAGCCCTTGATTGTTATGACGTTTAATAGACTTACGTCAGCTATAGTCCTGACATTGTCCTATAGGGGTGGGCTGGGGGTGGGGATAACAATGATAGACTTACATCAGCTATAGTCCTGACATTGTCCTATAGGGGTGGGCTGGGGGTGGGGATAACAATGATAGACTTACATCAGCTATAGTCCTGACATTGTCCTATAGGGGTGGGCTGGGGGTAGGGATTGGAATGATAGACTTACATCAGCTATAGTCCTGACATTGTCCTGTGGTAGTAGACCCTCTACTTCTGTCTGGGGATGCATGAACGTCTTGGCTTTCTCCTTGAGTCGGTCGACCGCGGAGGAGTGGACCATTGTCGTGGGAATCACCTGGTAGACGTCCAGGCCACCCTCCTGTCGCCTGTTCCAAGAGCCGGGTCTGTAACAGGTTATAGGTTACTGGTTACAGGTTATAGGTCACTGATAACAGGTTAGAGGTAACTGAAAACAGGCTAGAGGTCACTGATAACAGGTTAGAGGTCACTGATATTATTATTATACACAATACTGGAGTAAGTATCAAGCAACACCCTCCAACAAAGATTTTTTTCTATGGATAATTGAACTTTGGCATCTCAATGACCAATTTCTTCAACATCATAAATACACACCCACATTATAATTTTTTGACAATTCTATCATATTCCATCATGCATGTACATTTATCAAAATGTAAGTTGATATTTCGATCAATATTCTTTCTCCAAGTGCAATGTATTTTAACATCATTATCTTATATCCTCTATAAACTAGTTTTTTCTCAGCCCTTTCAAGTTTGATATACATGTAATGCTGATTAACTGAGACTGTGGAAAGGGACTAGATTACTTACAGAATATAATACATATGCAGGAATTAATGTAAGAAATGAGTCAGTGTTTACTTACGGAACATCAAACATCTGTAAGAATTTATTGTATGGAATCAGTCCATCACTGTCCTGCCCTACATCAGTCTTGAGTTGTTCCCACTGTTTCTCAGACATGGGGTATCCTAGGCGTTTCTCTATACCGCTACGGAACTCGTGTGGTGTAATGACACCCAGGCCATACTTATCACAGGACCTGTAAAAAGATAAAAAATATTATTCTGAAATGTTACAAAAATTCTATGTACACTATATACTACAAAATATCATCCTAATACTTACTTGAAATAGCCGATTAGTTTGAGGAAGTCCCCATGCAGTAAATCGACCAATCGGATGTCAAGTTGTTCTGAGGTTAAGGTGTTTTTTGGAAGAGGCCATGAGGGCAGTTTGTTATCCTGGAACCTGGAAATAAAGAAATTGTTTTAATGTGTATATAAGAAATTTGTATGACATTCTTTAAAAGATACCGTACAGAAAAATTATGGCAATGCTGTTTTAATGTTACAATCAATACTGGATACATATATTATGGTAAGTGTTCTTTCAGACAACTACCAGTTCTGTGTTACTTAATGCTGACTGGTTCAGTAACAATGCCATTTGTTAAGTAATACTGTTGACTGGTTCACTGTTACTTATTCTTATACCCTTATAAATAACTTTCTATATATTTATTACTAATAAAAAGTCCAACAAAAGAAATGTTTATTACGTCAGTCCAACAATTTCACTATTGACCGGCCTGCCGGTCCAACATAAGAATTGTTAGACTGCAACGTCACTGCTACGTCACAATTCATCATCGTTCAATATCGGCGACACGGAAATAACCGAAGTTAAGAGCTGCAAGAGTTGTTGCTACTAGCAAGGAAGAAGGGAAGAGTATGTTTTGTGATAAATATCTTTTGTGATATAATAAAAATTAATTTTGTTTTTTCTCAACTATTTTTTTATATTTATTGATTAAGCCATAATTGTCCATATTAAGTAATTGATAATATAGTGTGTATTGATAATATCTTAAGTGAGCACTGAAGGGTATAACAAAACAGTTACAGACTGGGTATGAGGGCAACATATGATTTGTTGAACCTGAGGGTGAAAATGTTGCCCGAGGCCGCAGGCCTCGGGCAACATTTTCACCTTCAGGTTCAACAAATCATATGTTGCCCTCATACCCAGTCAATAACTGTATATTGTTAGTTACGTATTACTTAAGTATTACTTACTGTTGACTGCTGACCACTTTATTGGTGATGCTGTTTTCTGATTTACTCTGGAACTTGTTAAGGAACTCCTTGTAGTTGATCTGACCACGAATTGTTCTTACACCATGTCTGTTAAAAATAATCCAAAACTGACATCAACAGAACAAATTCTGAATTAATTTGAAATTAATAAGTTAAAAAAAGGCATCTGGGTTTGGTGTCCTGATATGGCAATTTGCAAAAGTGTTATTTGTTAGAAACAAAGCCCAAGCATGATGTGACAATGAACTGTTAGCCCTAGTGTATTGTCACTTGCAAAATTGTAACAACACATTAGGAACAATTTGTAGAGTTTTAATTGACACTAGAGTACTGTTACACTTAATATAAATGGTCTTAATGGGCACCATGTCAAACTGTATCTATTTGCCATTTAGATATACCAAATGCAAGTATCATTGATTTGTTGTGATCATTATTTCAAGAATGGTGTTCTTAAATCATGAAAATGAAGGGAAATGTCTATGGCTAACTCTTAAAAAAACATTGAACCTATAAAACTGTAAACCTCACAAAATCTCACTTTTCTTGAAAATCTCACATTACATAAATACAGATTTTTTTTTTTCATTTCCTTACCTTGCTAAGAAGTTATCGAGATCAGTAACTGAGATATTGAGACCAAACTCCTGTAGAACCCGGCGAAAGTCGACTCGAGCAATGTAACCATCACTCAGATAATCAAAGAGGTCAAAGGCTGCCAGCATTGCATTGTATGACTCCTCAAACTGAAAAATAAAAGAGTAAAAAGGCTCATATGCAAAACAGCAACAAATAACAACATAGGTAGATATTTCACTCAGCCAGATAATCAAAGAAGTCAAAAGCTGCCAGCATCACATTGTAGGACTCCTCAAACTGAAAAAGAGTGAAATGGCTGTTTATATAAGCATAGGATGCTTTTAACTAACAAGATAAACATTAAATGACTTGCAATCATACAACAATTTTAAAAAGATGATGGGAGTAAAATGACCGATTTAGGTAACTTAAATACAAACATCAATGGTAAACTAGAGACTCAACAGAATAACTTGCTCTATATAAAACGGAAAGAACTACATGTATAGTTAGTTATGAAAGCAGTATCTGATCTCATGCCATTAAGAACTAGGTAACGTACATACTTTGATATTAATTTGAATTCAAACGTTGTCAGTTTTATCGACTTGTTCACATACCAAACTATAAAAATGCAGAAAGACTGGGTCTTTCTAAAAATTACCATAAAATCAGGAAATATACTTTCTAATGATACACTGAGAATATTTTTGTCAAGCGCAAAAACGAATGTAATTCAATGGAGTATGTCATTCAAACCAATCAGTTGTTTTCCTGTTCACTAATTTGTGATCTCAGTGAAAACTTGATAAATTAAAACTCATATGATATCAACGGGTAAATGTACTTATAAAGATAAATTAGGGAAGATTTGTTAAATTGTGCTTTGCAGTTTAACGTTAAATTTCAAATAAAGACTCATAAATACAAGTATAACTTAGGTTAAACAATTAAATTCACTTCATTAATATTTTCCAAATTTCCTTTTGTCAACTCAGATCCTGTTTGATTCACATCCAGATATAATTATTCATGCATTATAATTTACCAAATGATTTCAGATTTTTTTACAGGGTAAAAAAGTGACTGACTTGGGAAATGCCACTAAGCCATAAATTCTGGTATCATACATGGTCAGTACAGCATATTACTGACTAATGTCACACGCCTCATTGTGGTCTATTGTTTCAGGCTTACCCTCGTAGAAAATTTTCTTAAACAATGCTTATGAGCTTGTCTTCTCCTTACTATACGTAAGCAACATATTTTGTACAGGTCAAACACAGATCTTACAATACGTAGGCTGTATATATCTCAGACCTGTTCAATAGTGACAGATTTTTGCCACCGATTCCACATTTTTCCTGATGACTCAGTAAGCATATACCTCATAGTGGTCAGTGACAGAGCGCGTGATGGACAAGGAGGTCTTACTCCGGACATGGGCAGACTTTGGCCGCCCTCGTTCCTCCCTGATGCCCATTGAAGTGTGACAACGGAATTCGGTGCTGGTCGTAGTGGTGCGCTGATGCATGGCCTTGGAAAATCCCACAATCTCCATCATACTGACCAGGTGTTTATCTCTCAGATTCAACACTGACTTATTCCAATAAGAAAATATCCTTTGATATAATCTCCTTTTCTCCTCTCAACACTTAATTTGCAAATACATGCACACTGCTTTTTAATATTTCAATTCCAGGTCCATATGTATTTTGAGAAATGATAATCACAAAATCTAATGAAATATATCCATGAAACAACTTATGTGACCATTGTGATATTTTTATAATGAAGTGATCTTGGTCATTATACACTGAACACCTTCTCTAGTTCCACTCCTGTTAAACACACACGTCCCCAAACACAGAGTTACTATGCCTATATAAACATTGATTTTCCGTGAGAAGATCAATCTAAAAATTCCACAGCCTGGCATTTAATGTCATATCTTCTAACACTCTTCACTTTTAAAGTCCAGGGAGGGCTTTAAATGACCCGGAACACTGAGTTGCCTTCTCTACCTGTCTCTACCTGACAGGTAAGATTATTTACACCTGTTGCTATGATGCTGGGAAAATCCTCTCTAATGCCATATATAGAAAATTGATTTATCTGTAATCATTTCATCTACAAAGTCATGTGTGATCAACCTAGATGTCTTCATTAGTTATGTAAATGTCGCAATATTGTTTCTATTTGTTCACAAGTTTGAACTATCTATTTACATTGACTCAAAGAAAAGATTAAAGGAAATTTAAATGCTTTCATACAAATTTCTCATAAAGTTGTACTGTATCAGATTTCAGTTTGAGTAAAAATGCCTTTTTGATGTTACTGACTTTAAATTTTAAAGTTCTACTCATTTAAAAAAAGATATCTTTTTTAAATGTAATTTTGTTTAAAAGTTGTCAAGGAAGCATTTGTGTACTAGCTACAATAATGTAGCCTTCTCCCTCCTTGGTGGTGATGGGGGGGGATATCAAATTAAAAAAAAGATCGAGAGAGGGCTACATTATATTTGTATTAGCACTACAGCAATAACTTATAATATCATTTTTTAAAGATTAATTAAAGAACCAGTAACTGAGCATCTGCAGAAGTTAACTCCCTTTAGAAATCCCCAGCTTAAATTATCTAAGCTTTCTAGAATTTGTTTTTGAATATTAGTCAGGATTGCATTTCTTTATACAAGGAGTATGAAAATATTGACCAAAGCAAGGAAAGCACAGTCGTAAAATGAACTTTTATGCAACTTTTCAATACTTGTAGCTACTAGAGATGGGTATCGCAAAAAAAATTTCGTATCGCGATATATCACAATTTTTTCCCCAAATATCACGATAATATCATGATATTTTTGCAATAAATTTTTACAATGATTTTTTAATGAACTGTCATTATTTTTCTTAAAAATATGCTAGAAAAACAAATTTTCGCTTTTTTGAGATTTTTATGTACATTAAATTAATCATGTTTGGATGGTAAGATGCTGTTCTTTTCACCTTTTACAATATTTTTAAGACTTTCTATAATTTTAATTTGAAAGATGAAACAAATAAATGAATAATTTCTGGACTTTATAATATGTACCTAAATACCCCTATTTAGGTCTCTGTATCACGATACGTATCACGCAACTAAAAATCGTGATATACCGGTATACCAATAAAATCGCACATCCCTAGTAGCTAGCTTACAAAATATTTCTTGTTTACTGGTAATTTCTATTGTTGATTTTGATGGAACAAACACTATCATTGCCGAACATGATTTCACAGCATAGAGGCTTAAATATTCAAGATAACAACAATCTAATGTGATCAAACAACCATGGGTAGGAGAGAGCTATATGAAGCGTCCAAACCCTGGCTAAAATGAGATAAATAAATGTAAAGCTTCCATACAGATCTGTGATGTAGAGAAAACACTGAAAACTATCATAACATCCCATACAGATGATTATACTTTGATACCTGGATTCAGTGTTCAAGTGTCCAATACAAAGGAACATATGTATAATAAATACCAACCCTGATAAATAACTGAAAGGGAATATTGCAGCCAGCTTTATAGTAAAAATGTATGTACCACTTTTAATGACTGTCACAATCCATTGTTCTTAATCAAGTTAATTCATTGTACCAGGATTACATAGAAATCATAATTAAATTTCGAGGGATATGAAGAGACCTAAGAATTCAAGACATGTACCAAATGTTACAAGTAATGTACCAGTACAGTTAGTATATCATATATTTTCTTCAACAAAACAATCAAAACCTTTGAACTAATACATTCCTTTAAATGACAAAAATTTGACTTCCTAGCTATAAGTAACTTTAAATTATATCAAGCACTTTGTCATTCAAAAATCATAGTGAAGGGCATTTGTAAATACTAAACTAAATGAAGTTAGACCAAAATGTACTCATTTCTATGGACATGTTCATGAATTACCTCCCTTTTTACCTTCATTACAATATAGTATAACTCATCAAAGGCATAGATCTTTGTTTAATCATTTATACAACAAACATTTTACTATGCAGATTTAGATACAAACAGACACAATAGCCTGAACATCTATCAACTGTCACTGTAAACAAGTCCATGATGGTAGCTAATCACTCCAGGCAAAATGACTCAATTTGAGGAGTGATCTACATTCACAGAACTATTTTACTGACATTGAAACAACCTATAAACCTGTACTGCTGTGAAAGTTGTTATCTTTACCCTGTATACATGTAAAGTGCCTGGTGGTTCTAAATATTTAATAAACAACCCTTACCCTATAGTGCAGGCAGTCTATGATGTTCTCCAGCTTGGGCTGCACCTTCTTCTTACGATTGACGCTGACTTTGATGTCCTCACTCTTGTCTGGTGCCCCTGTATCTTTACTGGTATTCTCTCCCTCGGTTTTTTCTGTAGCCTTATCAGTGCTGACCTCTGTCTTGTTCTGTGTTGTAGTATTCACTTCCTGTTTAGTCTCTACCTCCTGTTTAGTATCTACTTCCTGTTTGGAGGGGGTGACATTGGCCTCTGATTTAGGTCTGATTTTGAGTTCTACGACTGTCTTACTGCGATGTGAGTAGGTTTTGGGTCGAGTGTCGATGCCCGCTCTCTTCAGAAACAAACTAGTTCTGATGGCACCTAAGCCCTCCTTGTCATATCTATTGATGAAAAAAAAATCAAATTTTAGCCCTTTAATCAGTAAATATCAGTCACTAATGCTTTGCATTTTTATCCTTCAGAATAATTCACTCAATCTGATTGATTTTTAGCAATTACGAGGGCCTTTCAAAAATTACACGGACTGTGCTATTATTTACTCTTACAGATGTCATATAGTTATGAAATTTCACAGAAATATGTATCCTAAAGATTCCAATAAATTTTAGGCAAAATTTTTGCATTAAAATTCTACGAAAATTATCGGTATGTTGATATCGCTGATGGAGAGGTACTGAGCAAGACAAAAAATATGAAGCAAAAGCATGCGGAATCTAAAATTTAACTCATTAATTTTCTATAATCCGCGATATTTTTTGACAATTTTCTCAAATGTATCTTTAAATTGGTCTATTATTGACAGTGAAAATGACATCTCCTGAATTGACAGCGCACCACACTTCTGTAAAATTACTTGTACTGCTCAAGATATCGCCAACATAGATCCAAAATATGCATAATTCATGTAGTAAACTGGACATTCGTCCAAAAATAGCAAAATGAAATTTTAGACCATTAGACCACTGTCAAAAGCCTATACGGGAGGATGGGAAAAAGATTATCGACGAAAACTTTATCTGGACTGTAAAGAACGTAATTGAGAGTCACACTATATCTCATAAATACCTGCAGTTTTTGGTTTTTAAACCAAAAAAGAATATTCTTTACTTGTTTAATAGATTTAAAGCTTGACAAGAAATGGTGTTTAGATGTTGATTAGATAAGATAACTCAAACTGCAGGTACTCTTGGGAAAATGTTGAGAAAATGAAAGCTCAATCACATATTTTTTATAATGCCTGTGATGTCGAAGATTTTGCTGCTCCGTGACTTGATGATATGTCCCGAAAAATCACTCAAAATTGATACCAATTTACAACATTTTGATAAGAAATTTTGAAGACCATATAAGTAAAGATTCTTTTATATTATGTGTGATATTTTGCCCGATTATGTCGTCAAATATTTTTTCTGTGCAACAAGTCTGCGTAATTTTTGAACAGCCTTCGTAAGTCCCAAAATGGGAGACAATTTGTGATGTGTCCCTCAAGCACATGGTGATAAACTTATTATCTCCCTTTGGATGGCAATGAAATACTGCAAGGAGGTATGTAGAGTGATACCTGAGTTGCCTCCCATTAGAAAAAAATTAAATGATGTAAGTAAGATTAATTATAATCTATAATTGATTAAAGTATACTATACAATATATTCTAATGGTGTTATCCATGTAGTCTGTTCACATATGTTGAAAGTATTGAATCAAAGAAGTGTGGAGAACACAAGGTTTGACAGATAGTTTATCTAATCTTTTTTTTATCATTATGACTTGGCTACAGTTACGGTAATACTTTGTTTTATTGACAAAGAGAAGACACCCACCGTTGCCATAGTGACATGAACTCCGCGTCCTTCATGAAGATCCCCAGCTGAGCGTGGGCTTCCCGGAGCTGTGGGGGGACAATCCTCCCGTTGGCCTGGAAACACGCTGGAGGGAAAACCTGACGTGCATCCTCTCTGTAACAATAAACAAGAAATCATTTTACAGTTAATTCTCGATAAACCGCCACCTTTTGTAATTTAGAAATCATGGCGGTATAACGAATTTGGCGATGAATCGAATTTCCCGTCATTTAGGAAACCAGAAGTAGAGTTACCGTTCTTAGAAATACCATTTAACGTTTCTATTCTCATTATAACATGTACATGTACATATAAAAACATATTTCTAAATTTTAAAATACTTCAAGTAATTTTTTATGTACAATTTTGCTAAAACAAAATGTGCAGTTATGAAATAAAGACAAGTACATGTGGATGCATGTAAATCTGCACGACTGATATTGAGAAAAAAAAATGCTGAGTCGATCATCATGATATATTGATGATAATACGTAAAATGAATTCTTGAATAAATTCATTGTTTAAGGCATCATTGTTAATAAAATGTTCACAATATATACCATATAATTATTTTTTAAGCAAATTTTGCATTGTTTAAAGCAGAGATCATCAAAATGATATCGTTATCTGTGTTCTTAAACAACGACCGCTTTCGTGGCAAAGCCGTCACTAAAATTAATGATTTTTATTTAACAGAAAACAAAATTATCATAACAGTTCATGTAAAAATCATTGTTTATTTAATTCTTATTTAATTATTTAATTGCTTGTACCTTGCCTGGCTTTGCACGCTTTACAACAGGGATAGCGTCAACCAATTAGCCGCGCTTCACTGACCACATGCACCTGTGGCGGTATATCGAGATAATTGACACTTAAAAATGGACGTTTGTTGTGAAAACAGGGTGGCGGATGGCGGTATGCGAATTAGGCGTTATAAAGAGAATTTTATATAGCAGGAAAAACGTTCTTGGCAAATCATGGCGGTATTGCGAAAATGGCGATGAATCGAATGGCGATAATTCGAGAATTGACTGTATTTCGAAAGACAGTTTTTCTTGAAATCTCTACTATACATAATGCTTAATTTTATACTGTTCTTACTTATTGCAAAATTTTCCTTATATTTATTTTGTACTTACATATTGCATTATTATATATTTCACTTGTATTTCTACTGTCTTACATATTGCGTATTTTCTCTCTAAACAGCGTGTCTGAGTAAGGTGCGGACAGGAAGGGGTTGGTTACGATGACGTCGGTTCGTCTGAGATCAGACTCGGGGTAATGTCTCGCCTTCTCCATCTCCAGCTTCATTGATGGACTCACCCACTCCTTCTGTACAGTCTACAGTTAAAACAATGCTTTATAATCCAAGTGTTAAATATTTTATTTAGTGGTTCTCTGAAACAGAATAAACCCTACCTCTGGAAAGAGGTATTAGCATACCTGATTAACAAGTGAAAGGTAGCAATTCTGATGCTGTTATGATTTGCAAAGCTCAAAATCCATTATCTTAAGGTCAAGATCTAGTAAATGAAAGGTGCCTACAGATTTACCAAACTTGAGAAATAAATTCTTTTATTGATGCTTTACAACTTTAGATTGGTCAAATAATGTGTTTCGGGGCATAATTTGTAGGTAAACAAGGTGAAAAACTGTATTTTAAACTGTCATTTTCAATAAAAGATTAAGAAAACCAGTCATGAATATGGGAGTTTTTTTAATATTCGACAAAGGAAATGTATCCAGATTGCCTACAGTCTCTCAGAAAACGGTAATTAGCATGTTCATGGCCTCTTCTTCAAATCAATATCAAATTTAATATAGGTATCCGGTTTACTTTTCATATGAATTCAAATTGAATGTCAAGAAAATACCCTATTTTTTATATAATTCTGCTAAAGCCGTAAAGTACGGGAAAAAGAAAGTTGAAATTGATTATGACGTCATAATGAATCTAGCACCAAACCAGAAGTCTCTGTCGAGACTGAAGCTCTACTGGTTTGAACTTATAGCAAAGGAAGAGAAAAGTACTTAAGCAGCTGGGATTTGAAACTAAATAGAATAATGATCGTTGATAAAGTCTCTTTATGTTCTTAGTGTAGTCTACTTGTGTGCCAAGTTATACTGAAATCAGACCAAAACTGTAGGAGGAGTAGCATTTTGAAACAATTTTACAGACATTTCTATTTTTAGTAACCACGGCAACACCGTTCATCAAAATTAAAGTTCGATACACAGAATTATGTATCTTAGTGTATTCTACTTATGTGCCAAGTTATATTGAAATCAGACCAAAACTGTAGGAAGAGTAGCATTTTGAAAGAAGTTCACAGAAATTTCTATTTTTAGTACCCACGGCAACACCGTTCATCGAAATCAAAAACTGATACATAGAATTATGTATCTTAGTGTAGTCTACTTGTGTGCCAAGTTATAATGAAATCAAACCAAAACTGTAGGAGGAGTAGCATTTTGAAAGAATTTCACAGAAATTTCTATTTTTAGTAACCACGGCAACACCGTTCATCAAAATCAAAAACCGATATACAGAATTATGTATCTTAGTGTATTCTACTTGCTTGCCAAGTAATACTGAAATCAGACCAAAACTGTAGGAGGAGTAGCATTTTGAAAGAATTTCACAGAAATTTCTATTTTTAGTAACCACGGCAACACCGTTCATCGAAATCAAAAACCGATACACAGAATTATGTATCTTAGTGTAGTCTACTTGTGTGCCAAGTTATAATGAAATCAAACCAAAACTGTAGGAGGAGTAGCATTTTGAAAGAATTTCACAGAAATTTCTATTTTTAGTAACCACGGCAACACCGTTCATCAAAATCAAAAACCGATACACAGAATTATGTATCTTAGTGTAGTCTACTTGTGTGCCAAGTTATATTGAAATCAGACCAAAACTGTAGGAGGAGTAGTGTTTTGAAAAATTGTTTACAGACAGACGGACAGACGGACAGACAGACAGACAGACGGACAGACGGACGGACGCCGGACGCATTACTATCGCATAAGCTCTTCTGGTCTCTGACCAGTAGAGCTAAAAATTAGTCTAAAGTTATTTACTAGATCTTGACCTTAAAGATCTTTAATGAAGAATATTGATAACTGTAAAAGGGCATTTTTCTACATACATTATAATAATGATTCATAATAGTTATACATAATCATATTTCACATAAAATAATTCTTCGAATATTTATTAAATGATTTTGAGATTCAGAAGATAAAAAAACAACATGATAAGTATGCAAAAAAAGGGGGGTGGAGGGGGAGGATACATAGGATTTAACTGTGAAAAGAAAATAGAAGGCAGGGTGTTTTGTTGGTGAATTAAGCCTTTTTTCTACTCAGCTACACAACATCAACATTAACAAGCAGTCTATAAGCCACAGTACACTGTAGATCACTAATCCTTCATGAGAGCTTTATTTTTGAGAGATTGTTTTATCATGATGGCATAATAAGTACCGGTAAGCCAAAAATTTCAGAAATTTTAATTACTGTTACATATATATCAATAGAAATTATGCAAAAATAAAGTTCACGAGTAAAAAGTGATTAACAGTAAGCAGCTCAGTAAAGGTAGAGGGAGAGAACAAGCAGAGGACTGGGTACCAAGCAAAGAGAACCAGTTAAAAAGGACTGGATACCAAGCAAAGAGAACCAGTTAAAAAGGACTGGATACCAAGCAAAGAAAACCAGAGGCCTGTTCAGCAGAGCGAAAGTTCGCGAGTGCTCGCTAAAATTCCTTATACCTCCAATAGTAATTTTGGCGAGCGCTCGCGATTCGCGAACGTTCGCTCTGCTGAACAGGCCTCAGTTAAAAAGGACTGGATACAAAGCAAAGAGAACCAGTTAAAAAGGACTGGATACCAAGCAAAGAGAACCAGTTAAAAAGGCAGTGGAAGAAAATTACACATGATACTGAATTTTGAGAGCAAAATGTTAACAAATTTATTGATTTGAAGAGATTAAGTTTGAGAAAAATCTCCCTGATATTTTAAGTGAAAACATCTTTACAAGAATTCAATTGATTGTATGCTGTTTATAATGTGTCCCATTTCAGTATTTATAATAAAAGCACATAATAATGTCACCTACTTTAAGTGAAGTGCCTTGAATTTGTATCATACATGGCCCTTTAATTATGTCAATGCCACCTATAAATTATGGGACCCTGATTTTGAAGGTTTCAGCCAAAGGACTCAATACTTTTACTTCCAGGCACTTTGCAAATGAACAGTCATAATTAAATGTCTTTAGGTTTGATGCAGCTAGCACAAAGAGCAAAAAATCAAATCCAGGACCACCCAATAGTGAAGCAACCATTGTTACAACGCACTTTGAAAAATTACGCACTTTGAAAAAATTTTTCAAAGTGCGTTAAAATTTGGGACCAAGCTAACGCACTTTGAAAAAAATAATTTTTTTTCAAAGTGTGTTAATATCGACCATATTAACGCACTTTGAAAAAAATGTAAAGATTGATCAATATTCCTTCATATAATCGGTGTGATAAATAACAGATCCTGGTTTGATAACTTTTTTATGATAAAGTCACTGTAGGACCTGAGATATTAACGTTTTAAATATTTAAGGTTTTGATAAAATAAAAGGGAAAATTAAAGGGTCTTGAAAAAAAGAGTGACCATTGTTTAAGTTCATTAATTCGTTTCTTCTTTTTTTTTTAATTCTAGTCTTTGATAAGTAGATGTAAAGGTGTATAGGGGGCACTAACAGAGGACAGCTTCAAGCAACTTAGCATTTATCATAATAAAAAGGGGCCAATTTGATTGTTCAAAACTATGAAAATTCTTTCTCTCTCATACGTTTTACTGTACTTAAAAATTTCTAGTTTTCATCTGTTTTAATTAACTCATTTTTATTGAAAGTTTTCAACGTCATACCAGTTAGGTAAATACATAATTATATGAATGCTTTGAGTATAGCATAGACATCGAGACTGGGCGAAGGGCCAGGGGAGGGGAAGGGGGGCTAAGCCCCCCACTTATTTTGGAAAGATATATACATCGTATAAGCATTGAAAATGGAGCGTACCCTTTTCAGGTTTATTGCTCCCCTCCCCCGTTTGTTACCGACACCTACCATATGTATTGGAAAGATGAAGATTTGGACTTAGGGATCTTATACCCCTATTTTCCTCTTTTCGACGGGAGTAAAATCAATTCATTTTTGAGGTTAGGGTTAGGCTTAGTTTTTTGAAAGATAAATAACAAATAAAATCTTTCCATGACTAAAATATGACTTTTTTTCAAAGTGCGTTAAGTGTCTCCATGGTCAAATATATTGATGTAGACTCTTAACGCACTTTGAAAATTTTTTTCAAAGTGCGTTGAGTTGGTCCCAAATTTAACGCACTTTGAAAATTTTTTTCAAAGTGCGTTGATTTTGTCCCAATTTTAACGCACTTTGAAAAATTTTTTCAAAGTGCGTAATTTTTTCAAAGTGCGTTGCCACAAACCATTTGTGAAACATATTTCCTGATCAGTTGCACATCTTCTTTTCACTGTTGCAGCAAATGATTGCATTTTTGAGAGGTTAATGATGCACAATGGCTGCAGCATGCACCCCCTCCCCAAATAAAACAATAATTATTCATTTCTGTCCGTGATAAATATTGATGGAATCTCTGCTTTAGTTGCTAATACATGGAATCAAAATTATCAAACCAAAATTTACCCTGTCTGACTGGTTGCCAAAATTCAATTTATTTGTTATTTTGCAGCTGTTACAGGAATTAATGTTGGGAATTTTCAAACATGTAATTAATTTATCAGTCAGGTCATATCTAATAACAGGTACAACATTACAAATTAATGGGGTTTTTTTTATTCTGTTACATGGGGAATTTTTTAAGCTGTTACAGATTACCACATTTTAAATTAAATAAGGAATAAAGGAGTTCATCATTTAAATAGTTATAACAACATCAAAATGAGGCTCTATCACCATGGTAACACAACATATCCCAGAGTTCCAAACTTACCAGGCGAGGTAATCGTCTCTTTACAACCTTACAGAAGACAATTTTAATGTAATTGAAAGTCCTCAGGTGACTAATATTATTTACGATATTGCTTTCTGTTTCCATCCTACATAATCCTGATTTGTACGTTGGGATTCTCCTGCTGCATAGTTGTATGGTAATAAAAACTTTTAGTTACATGTACCCTTAGGGTGAATTCTAGCCAACACAATTGATATTGCTGAGTTTTTAATACAGTAGGCAACTTTACCAGCAAGCAAATTTTGATACTTATATTTCTAACAGGAATGAAGCAAATGTATTTACCAGGCAAGACCTTGAATCTAACCCAAGTTCTATTTTTTTTTGCCCCTGATAGGACTTTTACCTAGAAGTCCAGGGGATAATAAAGGTCACCAATTTGTAACAGGAAAGATGCATGGCTGGACTGGGACCCTAACCCAGGATTCCTGCAGCACTAATCAGATGACTGACCAACAGAGCTACCCAGACCAATGCCCACAGCCCAAGCCACTGCATTAATTTATATAAATGTGACACTGTGAGGGTAAATTAATTTCACAAGGTTCTCGTGTATGCAAACTACCTACAACATGCAAGCATTTGAAAATTTAATTAAATTTCTGAATTTCAATCGTAAATTTTACTAGAAGTCTATTCAAAATCTTGATAGTGTTTTTTTTTTTTTTTTTTGATTTTAAAAATCTTCCTAAACTTTTTGCTGAACATAGAAGGTGTACATTGATGATGAAATGTCCTTTGTGCACATATCGGAAGTGACTACCTACCATAGAGTTACTCTTTGGTATGACTGCATTAAGACATAAAGCAAGACAATATTACTGACAGACCATTTCACTGCCCACTATAACAACAATGCTTTGGCCTTACTTTGTGTAGGACACTGTTGTTCACATGATACACATAAAATAATCATACATTTTACATTGAGATTGGGATCTTACATTAAGAGTGCTGATAAAAAACTTTCTTTTACTGGATAACTAATAAAACTGAAATTTGTTAATACCATAAACATTTTCTTGCCTTTCTGTATAAAATTACTGATGACTTTGGATTTCTATATCTACTTGGGAGATTGAAAATAGCAGGAAAAATTAGAGCTTTAGGAAAAATATAACTAGGAATTAATCTAGCTCTAATGAACTTGATGATTAGTCCTGTTTATAATAATGAAGAAGAATCCAATAGGCAGTTAATGTATCTCAGAACTTGTTATAGCTTCCCTATGGATGGATATACAAGTAACTGTATGGGTAGCCCAAAGAGAGAAAACAGTACTTGTAATCTATTGAATCCCATTCTATTTTGTTTTTCAGAAATCAATGTAGGAGACATCTCTATAGATCTCTACTAACCTCATTATCCTTAAAACAAGCCACAAAACCATCAAAAGAAATGTGATCTTTTCCATCCAATCCATTCCTGTTATCAATAAAATAAATTATTTTACTGCACATATATATGTGGTCAAAGTTATGGCATCAGCTAAACTTTTCTAACATAGGTTGAAAAACACAGATATCGATAACTTTGTTTGACAAAGTCTGAAGAGCAGCCAATTATCTCCTTTCTAAGTGGTCTGTGTCACGGCCTCATGTGTCCTCCGGGGCACAGAGAAGATAAGTAAGTAAGTAGTAAGTGGCTTGTATACTAGCTTACCCTTTTAGGAATTTACTGTACTGCTCCTGTGTTATGTACCCCACTAAACTGTACAGAATTCTCAACAAGGCCTCCCTGCATTAAAATAATGTTAACAATGTTCATTGTACGCTCATTTCAGTATACATAGGTTTATTTAAATGTACATAGAGGAAATTGAAGTTCATTGATCACATTTCTTTTTTATGTCAAATTTTGATAGAAAACAGTGTATCTAACATATTTATGTAAGCATATATTTATGTTTTTATGATTTGACCTTGACACGACCCCTTTCCCTGTAGGATCATTGGCCTTGAACATGTGTCGCAGTCCATAGTATCCAGTGGTCAGTCTGTCCTTGACCTTCTCTGTCACCTGTGGAGGGTAAAAATAGATTAAAATGTGTGTAAATTAAGGCAAAAAAAAATTAATTTCATTTTCTTGGTTCTCAGGCCCTCCCTCATCTCTTCCAAGGGTGCCTCATTGACCCTTTTTATTGCCAAATCGATAAAATAAAAACACCAAATCACCTCCCTCATCATTTTTTGTGGTTTTGTACAATGTAAAAAGCTGCCTCATCATGTTTTGGGGGCAATAAAAAAGAAAAAAAAATGCCTCCCTCCCTCATCATATTTCTTGGAAAAAAAGGCCTGAGAACCAAGTAATTAATTTTGCATGGCCTAAAATACATTAAAATATCAGCATAACTGGTGATACTATGAGGACTAAGTTTACAATATCATTACTCTCATTGAGCATAGTAAGATTGAAAAAAATTCCATGTTTTGCTACGTGAAACCCTAAATATTTGTTTGTTCCTATTATTGTTAAACATTTGTAACGTTACTCAGTGGTATAGGAGAAGTTGGAGATAAGAGATGGGTATCTAAAGTGTCAAGGACAGACAACCCATCACTATACACCCCTGGATTTTCAAGCGAGGGTAAATAACTCCACAGCAGTTCCGGGTGATTACTGTACATACCTCCTCACTTGTTCTTGGTGTGGGGTAATTCTGGGTAATTTTATAGTAATACATACCTCCTCACTGGTTCTTGGGATGGGGTAATTCTGGGTAATTTTATAGTAATACATACCTCCTCACTTGTTCTTGGTGTGGGGTAATTCTGGGTAATTTTATAGTAATACATACCTCCTCACTTGTTCTTGGGGTGGGGTAATTATGGGTAATTCTATAGTAATACATACCTCCTCACTGGTTCTTGGGGTGGGGTAATTCTGGGTAATTATATAGTAATACATACCTCCTCACTTGTTCTTGGGGTGGGGTAATTATGGGTAATTCTATAGTAACACATACCTCCTCACTTGTTCTTGGAATGGGGTAATTCTGGGTAATTTTATAGCAATACATACCTCCTCACTGGTTCTTGGGGTGGGGTTATTCTGGGTAATTTTATAGTAATACATACCTCCTCACTTGTTCTTGGAATGGGGTAATTCTGGGTAATTTTATAGCAATACATACCTCCTCACTGGTTCTTGGGGTGGGGTTATTCTGGGTAATTTTATAGTAATACATACCTCCTCACTGGTTCTTGGGCTGGGGTAATTCTGGGTAATTTTATAGTAATACATACCTCCTCACTGGTTCTTGGGGTGGGGTAATTCTGGGTAATTTTATAGTAATACATACCTCCTCACTGGTTATTGGTGTGGGGTTATTCTGGGTAATTTTATAGTAATACATACCTCCTCACTGGTTCTTGGGGTGGGGTAATTCTGGGTAATTTTATAGTAATACATACCTCCTCACTTGTTCTTGGGATGGGGTAATTCTGGATAATTTTATAGTAATACATACCTCCTCACTGGTTCTTGGGGTGGGGTAATTCTGGGTAATTTTATAGTAATACATACCTCCTCACTGGTTATTGGTGTGGGGTTATTCTGGGTAATTTTATAGTAATACATACCTCCTCACTGGTTATTGGTGTGGGGTTATTCTGGGTAATTTTATAGTAATACATACCTCCTCACCGGTTCTTGGGATGGGGTAATTCTGGGTAATTTTATAGCAATACATACCTCCTCACTGGTTCTTGGGGTGGGGTAATTCTGGGTAATTTTATAGTAATACATACCTCCTCACGTTCTTGGGATGGGGTAATTCTGGGTAATTTTATAGCAATACATACCTCCTCACTGGTTTCTTGGGATGGGGTAATTCTGGGTAATTTTATAGCAATACATACCTCCTCACTGGTTCTTGGGGTGGGGTAATTCTGGGTAATTTTATAGTAATACATACCTCCTCACTGGTTCTTGGGGTGGCGGATGTTGCATCCTGTCGCCCTCGTGATTTATGTGGCCCCTGACTGTACTCTGTAAAACATTAAAGTACAAATGTTACAGCTTTATATTAACAAGAAATGATCAAGGTTTGAAAGTTTTAATTATCACTGAGAACACTATAGAGATCATTTATGAAATGCAAATATACATGATGTACATGTATATAACATGCAGTCAAAAGAATATAAAGATATCCTGCAAAAAAAAAAAATTGAATGAGTCCTTTTTCAGATTGGTGAGGATGGGTAAACTGAAAACATTTGATAACAGGAATTCTATGAATTGTGAAGGTTCCAGATTGAGGTTTAGAAAACCATACAGAAATAAGTGGAAGAGCGTAACTTTTAACTCAGTACAAAATTCTGTGATATTCATTAAAATACTGAAGATCAACTGAACCATATCATTTTAGTGACTTCATAGGAAAACAAGGTGAGAGACTTTTCAAAAAATATGTTTGACATATATCGAAATGAAAAATATTCAACTGAAATTGTTTGAAAGAAAAGCTGGTTTATGGTATTCTACAGTGATAATGATTTGACCTGGGAAAAAAATTCACATCATAATATATATGTACAATACAACTGAATAAGTCAAGTTTAATAAGCACACACAAGTTCAGCATTGAAATATATGATTAAATGCAGTTACTGTAATCAGAGAAATAATGATATACTTCTGGAACACTGTCACTCATGTAAGTATAAATATTAATACATATACAAATAAACACCTTTCATTCCTCCACCAATACTTTTGCGATTAGAATTACCGAAATCCTGGGTAATAAAGTCATAACATTTCACTGATAGCTACACTGTCCACTTCAAGTGTAACCCTTTCCCTGTTATTTCCACAATGCTGCTGAAAATTCTTGTTATTACTTTATATTCACTCAATGTATATCATGATTAAGAAAAATATACCGTGATACATATAAATTAATTAGAGCTCAATAACAGCTGATTGATTAGAGCAGCTCGTTATCAGCTGACGTATATTTCACACAGTAGAAACCTGTCTCTTCTTCAGTGATGGCGTCTAACACCAGGTTCAGTGGAGGAAGTTTTACAACCTCTGTACATTTCCCTGAGCCGTGATCTGCCGGCTTTGTCTTCATCTCAATCTGCGGCAGAATTACGGGTTTCTTTTTCTTGTGGACAGACTTTTTTCTAGTGAGTCCCATTCTCTCTGTAGCTGAGTGGCGGTACTTAAATGGGGGAAAGAATTCGGTCGCTGAAATACCACAGAATTTTCAACCATACCCCTTTCGACAGATACATACTATACATAAGGTCCATATAAACATTCATTTCCTTACACTAAAACATCATAACTCTGTGCAAACAAAACTTACTAACTTATCCAAATTATTCCTAAATTTTACAATAGATTTATGAACAACGTTAGATTATTATTTTTTTGTTCATTCCATGTTTATAATGTGTCTCATAACTTGGCATAAGATTGGTCAGTAAAAGAAAAAAAGTGAGCGTAGGTTGGCACATTGTTACATGGGATATTTTTAAAGAATATCTTATTAATTTTCACAGTGACCTAGGCCCTATGTACAGATGTATTCGTACTAACAATGCTAACGTTAGATCTTTGCTCAAGTTGCTGTTCTGGTAACGCAAACGGTTAAAAGTCCGCCACGCAGCTGTGGATTTCTAAGATAGTGCGTTTTAGTTTAAAACTGATGGAACATACTTACTTTTAAAAAGTCGTACAGCAGATATATACATGATGCTCGATCCATCTACATTTTTAATTTATCAAATACAAAGCAAAATCGCCTGTTGACAGTTGGCGCGCTACCGGAAATAAAACATTTAATGTAAAAATTAACAAAAGAATCAAATCCGATCAAGTTCCGGAATTGTACAACCAAGTTCTTTCTACATGCATGGAGTAGGGCCTACTGTCTGTACGTGGAAACCATAGAGAATAGGCCCTATTACTATTTTTGTTAATTGTTCAGATTGTCAGAATCCCCCAACATTTTTAGACCTAAGTTAGATAAAATGTTTATTTGTAACAAAGGGTTTTTAGTTAATTTGTTTCAGTTAGAATGACCCCCCTCCATTCCCCTGAAATAAAAAAAATAGATCAGCGCATACAAGGCACCAAGAAATCACAGGTAATATTAATACTGTATTTCGATGGAATTTTTTAACGAGTTTTTAAAACTCTTGATAAAATTATTTGTTTCATTTTCAGCTAAAACTTCAAATGTTGTTTTGAGTTTATAGGTTTATAGAGATCTCGGCAGAAAGCTGCATTTTGATTTAACTGAATACCTCATGAGATGATCTTTAAAACGTACAAAAACTTTGTCTACCATAAAAAAGGAACAAAGATAAAATGATGCTGATAAAATGATGAGTTTCATTCATTCATTCACTTATTTATTTATTTTTATTAATTGATTTATTTATTTATTAATAAATAAATTAATTAATTAATTAATTTATTTATTTATTTATTTTTATTTATTTATTTATTTATTTATTTATTTATTCATTCATTCATTCATTCATTCATTCATTCATTCATTCATTCATTCATTCATTCATTCATTCATCCATCTATTAAGAAATACACACGCTAACTCTCGATTCCCGCTTACGTTTTGGAACCATTTAATTCAATATAAATAGCAATTTGGCCATAAAATCTTTGTTTAATACAAAGAACAGTTCAATGGTAATTGATGAATTATCTTAATATCAGCGCTAAACAGTAATTTATCCATTATTCCAGCTCTTGAAAAAAGGGGGGTAGACGATATTTTCCATTGAAATCGGAGTTTCAAGCATCACCATATTTTGAAATAGTCTTGGATATGATTAAATGTTCCTTATATCTTTTCTTATGGATTTGGCAAATAAATAAAACATAAATATAATGTTTCAGTTGTAAATCGCTTTGAAATTGGTGGAAAATAAGCATTTTTATCGTTTTTTGTCAGTAAAACATATGTCCCCCCCCCCGTGTCACACAAAAAGCTTCGGTATGAATTTGTGAAAAAACATTCCATATTACTTGTAAAAAGGAATTTTTGTGACACGGGGGGGGGATGTTTTAAAAATGTTTTCCGTTGATTTCTATAGTGAAAAACACAAGTTTTACCAAAATTTTAGAGTTATCTCTCTTTGTTTTCCGAAATATGTAATGTTTTATGTAAATCCATATATTTATCTAAAAAAAAAAAATATATTAAAAATTCATCGAATATGTTAACTTTTGAAAATTGACTTGGAGGTAGGCGGGAGAACAATACTATCGTTCGCAGTTCTTCATTCATTCCATAATATACTTGAGTTAATATTGTGGGTTTTTTTTAAGACGGGTGATGTGTTAGACATTAAACATTTTGGGTTACCCGGTTCATACTTCATGTAAGAAGTCACGAATGAGATGAAATGGGTTGGTGGGTGGGGCAATTGTCCAAGACAGTGCTTCTGGTAGAGTCAGCGGCATTTAGCGGCATTTGTCCAGCACAGACCTTCTGGTAGAGTCAGCGGCATTTAGCGGCATTTGTCCAACACAGACCCTCTGGTAGAGTCAGCGGCATTTCTCCAAGACAGACCCTCTGGTGGAGTCAGCGGCATTTAGCGGCATTTGTCCAACACAGACCCTCTGGTAGAGTCAGCGGCATTTAGCGGCATTTGTCCAAGACAGACCCTCTGGTGGAGTCAGCGGCATTTAGCGGCATTTGTCCAACACAGACCCTCTGGTAGAGTCAGCGGCATTTAGCGGCATTTGTCCAGCACAGACCTTCTGGTAGAGTCAGCGGCATTTAGCGGCATTTGTCCAACACAGACCCTCTGGTAGAGTCAGCGGCATTTAGCGGCATTTGTCCAAGACAGACCCTCTGGTAGAGTCAGCGGCATTTAGCGGCATTTGTTCAAGACAGATCCTCTGGTAGAGTCAGCGGCATTTAGCGGCATTTGTCCAAGACAGACCTTCTGGTAGTCAGCGGCATTTCTCAAAGACAGTGCTTCTGATAACATTTAGAGAATTTGTTTAACAAGATCGAGTGCTCTAATTCCTTTCTCCTTTATTTTCAGTAAATTCCTTTATCTTGAAAAAGATATAGGACTCAGGAATGAACAAGTCCATAAATACTGTTTTGTATAGATCATAGATCTTAATTACAATTTAATCTGTTGTTTTTCCATGGATTTAATGATATACAGTAATTTAAAGAGAAATGGTTTACAATTTTATGTATGAAAGACACTTAAATAGTATAATATTTGTTTTTCCCTAATGGCAGGGACTTGCTCAATTAGTAATATTTATATTTTTTTCATTTAGTTTGATGGTATTTCCATTATTATTTAAAAAAATATTACCCCGGTAATTAAATATCAGTTTAAATTGTACAAATAATGTTTTGTACTTTGGTAGTATCTTTGAAAATAATTCAATTAACAGCTTTATCCTGCTCAGCACTAGCCATATTAAAGTATCATGCTGATTAGCAATTTGCAGTTATTGATATCTTGCAGTCAGATACAGACAAAATTACCACCAATATAACAAAACAGAAGATGATTAGGGAAAAGGTGTTAAACATCTGGCTTCATGCATTTGATATTGCTCGGTTATGTGATAATGACTATTAAATTTCAAGTACCCCATGTATAACATATTAATTATTAAGTTATATTTATGAAAATATGTCAAATAAAATACTAAATAAAGAAAATAATGTAATTACTCCATAAATTATAGTAACAGAAGAAGCTTTACTTTGAGAATGTTTCAAAATTATCTCATTATAAGTAGCTGTGTCTTAATTTATTCAACAAATAAACCCTATGAGCATTGTATGCAACTGTTTTAAACTATTTTTATCAATGAAGTTAGCAAAAAAAGGCTTTCAGAGGCACACCATGCAAAGTTGAATTTATTTTTTTCAAGACCGATTTGTAAAAGTCCAGTAAAGGATTCTCTACAAAAATTTTCAATCAGGCCATAATTTTTTCTCATTAGCTTTTTAAACCAAATTTTACATGTTTTATAAGCATTATTTAATTTGGTTTTTAAAACAAATATCCATGTTACATGAAATACCAAGACAAGTTTCATTAAACCATTAAAGCAAGTAGCAACAAGCACATGACAGAAATTTAGTTTCATTTCCAGAATTATCTCAAATTAACATGCTCTGATTTTAAAGGAATACATTGTTTATTGATCTAGTCATGCAGCTTATTCCGTAAAAGATATAAAACTGGGATAGGTTAACATTTTACAATCATGCAGCTCAAGCCATAATAAATAAATTGCTAGATTCTCATCCAATCTAAAAAAAAAAATCAAGGTGGGCGGGCGGCTTTTATTTTATACTTTTTATTTTTTCAATTTCACAGATTTTATCTACAATACCCGAATAAAAGTCATAGTGAAGGTTCAATTATCTCTTACTTCACATCATCACCAATCTTTTTTCAACCAATGACCCTTGTTTAAAATATATACGTATTACAGCAATTTTTCAGCCGTCAAAAATCATGTTTAAAACGAAAGTAGAATGGTAGATGAATACCGATCCCGATGAGAATTAAGACGAAGAAAAACAGAAATAAGAAGGTATTAATTCAGAGTGGGCAGGGATGAGAATCTAGAAATATTTTTATTATGGCCAATATTCAGTAAAAGATATAAAATTCGGATAGGTAAAAATTCTGTAATCATGCAGCTTATTCCGTAAAAGATATAAAATGCAGCTATTAAATTCCGTAAAAGATATAAAACTAGGAAAGGTTAACATTTTATATTCATGCAGCTTATTCCGTAAAAGATTTAAAACTAGGATAGGTTAACATTTTGTAATCATGCAGTTTATTCCATAAAGATATAAAACTGGAATAGTTTACCGTTAACATTTTATAATCAATGCATGCAGCTTACTCCGTAAAAGATATAAAAATTGGGATAGGTTAGCAATTTGTAATGATGCGGCTTATTCCGTTAAAGATTTAAAATGCAGCTTATTCCGTAAAAGGTATAAAACTGAGATACATTTTATAATCATGCAGCTTGTTCCGTAAAAGATTTAAATTTAATGCTGCTTTTTCCGTGAAAGATATAAAACTGGAATAGGTGAACATTTTAAAATCTGCAGCTTATTCCGTGAAAGATATGAAACTGGGATAGGTTAACATTTTATAATCATGCAGTTTATTTCGTAAAAAATTTAATTAAAATGCAGCTTTTTCCAT